TACTACGTACGTACGTACGTACGTACGTACGTACGTACTACGTACGTACGTACGTACGTACGTACGTACGTACGTACGTCTACGTACGTACGTACGTACGTCTCTCTCTCTCTCTCTCTCTCTCTCTCTCTCTCTCTCTCTCTCTCTCTCTCTCTCTCTCTCTCTCTCTCTCTCTCTCTCTCTCTCTCTCTCTCAGGTGGCACACACACCTAGGAGTTGCACCCACCACTAGGGCGTACAGAGGGGCATGCCCAGCCCTATCTTGGTTAAGGGATGGTTCAACATTGTGACATGCCCCAAAAGATTTAAAAGGTCTGAGAAACCCTATTTTTAGTAATCAATGTCCTCAGCCCTAGCTTAGTTAAAGTGTCCTCAGCCCTAGCTTAGTTAAAGTGTCCTCAGCCCTAGCTTAGTTAAAGAGTAAGTCATAGGTGCTTCCCAGCCTCAAAGGATCCAACAAAACCTAAGGATCAAGTACACCACTGGTTCGGTAATTGGGTGTGCTAAATCTAAGGGGGAAGCCCTAGGCAAAGGTTCAGTAATTCTTTCCAATTTTGGTTATCAACTTTATTTTCGGTCCTTAATTCATGTTTGTTAAGAAGTCTTAATTGTATTAGGAGCCCTATTTGGATTAGGAGTCCTACTTGTACTAGGACTCTTACGTAAATTATAGATCCTAAATGCATTAGAATTCATATTGCGAGTTTGAATTTCAATTTTGAATAAAGTTTTATTTGATGGTAAGAGTTAAAGATCCTAGATTGTAGCAGGTTTATTTCTATTTCTGGTTGTATTGTGGCAATTGTAAGTAGAAATTCTGGTTATCAATAAAATAAAAAAAAGAGAAAAAGTTTTTATTCATCCTTCGGAATTCTACATAGCCATACCTTTTCAATCTCAAACATGAGGGATCCTCTCTAATATTAGACGAGTTTACTCAGAGTTGGGTTTGGACAATTCAGTTTAGGCTATTGGCTAGGCCTTCATCTATAGTGGATTTCCACTAAACCTTCATCTAGTCTTCCAGAAACCTGCTTTTATTGACCCACACATATCACGCTATTTTTCTGCAACTCGAAACAAATCTTTTTACCAGGGGTAGAAATCTGGCCTAGATAGGAGTCCTTGTTTCCAACAAATTAATCCTAGGTAGTATTGGCAATATTATTTCCATTTTTGCCAAATCCAAGACTAGCTGGTTAGGTTTACCCATGTGTTTGTCAACCCAAGTCAGCAACCACTAACCTATGCAAAACTCTAAGCTCCAACTCCTTTTGGAAAGATCCCTTTGATGATTCTTTGGCTGCATGGTTGAGGAATGAGGACCCCCTGCTGAAGCAAGTCAACCAAGTTCCATGGCCACTGGATGTTGATGTCATCTTAAGGAAATTCAAAGCAATGTGATTAGTATAAGCAGAAACGCTTTAACTACGAAGAGAATGAAACCACAAAAGAAGGAAACAACCTTTTGACAAATGAAATAATTAGATGTCGAGTTAAATATCAATTTGAAAACTCCCACTCAATTTCTTCAGTTTAAAACATGGTAAAACTATGCACACCTTATATTTCAGTTAAGTCAAGCACCAAAGTGCAGAGAAAAATGCATAGAGAAATATCAAACCTGGAGAGTCAGAGGACTGGTATGCTTTGTCACCAAGAAGTTGGACAAGTTCACTGAGTAAGCCATGGCAGAGTTCACCAAAAGAAGGAAAAACATAAACCTATCCTTTCCAAGTGAAAGAACGACATCTGCCAAATTTGATTCCATGACAAGAACAGCAGGCAACAAAACCAAAACTGCCATAGGTGACATATACAGCAACAAGTTCATGGAATTCAACTTCTCCCTGCAAGTAAAAAGGGTAAGATATACACTGATTTCAATGAGTATTTGATTAAATTTTGGTGCAACACATAAAAGCCAAATATTAAGATATGGGGAGAAAACATCAGGGGTGTACTTTTCAAAAGGAATACTTTCATTCACCATGTCACGCTTGTAATATTTATGGAATGATCAAATTACAAAGCCGTAATACAAAATATGATGTGGAGTGAGGGTTACAGTTGGATATATCAAAGTAAGAATTGGATTAGAAGCAAAGATTCTAACTTATGCATAAATGCATAATTAAGCAGTTGGGGTTTTATACAAGGACTTGGGGAAAATGGCTTCACTGCGCCTACAATTACATGATAATCAAGAAGTATTTAATGATTACACAACAAATAATACAATCAACATAATACACAAACTCAAGGTCAAGGCTGACAGGCTGCTTGATTCCCAAGATCAGCATAGGAATACATACTGGACTGTGGAGATGCTTGATTCTCAACGGCCAGAGACCCAATAGTCAGAGGGCTTGGGTCTAAACTTCAAGTAATCATAATTTAAAGGCTGTCATGTCAGGGTTCCCAAAAGTTATGCCACTATCCAGGAAGGCCAGAAGATTTACTAGAATAATCCATTAGAGGGTTCTAGGGAAAATAGTGATCAAGTATGAAACCTTATTCCTCCATCATTCTCTTGAACATTGGGAAGGCTGAAAAGTATATTTGAGAATCCAGATATCAATTATTAGGGAAGCAGGAAAGATGATCCTTGTCTATTTTGAAACATGCCAATTACAGAATCACCTCCATTATTTAATAGAAAAGAGACAGAATTGCCAAATCAAAAAACGTTTCACAAAGCTATCATATTAGACAAAAGATAATAGAAAACAAACAAGCTAAAAATACTGAGTAAATAAAAGCACATTGGACTTCATACAAAAATAACTACTATCCTGCACACAAAATAACTACTGCAACTAACCCTTCTGATGACAACAATATCCCCTGAAGGACTGACTTGAAAGCCCTTGCTGCTGTTGCTCCAATGCACATGATAAAACCGTACAAGTGGAAGCTTGGCTCTCCCTGCCAACGACATAAACAAAACAAAAATTTCACCATGACAAACCAAATACAGAGATAGAAAACAAGTAACATATGCACGCATGCCCGCACGCACAGAAAGAGAGAGAGGAATTCAATCAGAAAGGCATATCAAAAATGGCGAGCAAGATGTAACAAAGGCAGATCAGTTATTTGTTGACGATTCTATCAATTCCGAATTTCTCAGTAAAGGCATGAATCAGGCAATGACAAGCAAGGGCACAAAAAAATGAGGCTATTATGAACCACACTACTTGCAATTTCCCAAAATTTACAGTTGAAAGAGGTATGAATTTGGCAATTCACAGCAAAGATGAAAAAGACGGGATTATATGAATTACCCCACTTGCAATAACCACGCCTGCAACAACGGGCACAAGGGCTGCATAAGTGAGCCATGCCTCTCTCTTGAAGGTCATGAGATACGCAAAGAGAGCAGTAAAAAATGGGGTGGTGGCCCCAACTGCCTGGTTAAATGAGACGGGCAAAAACCTTAAAGATATGTTTCCTCCAACTACCGAACCACAAAACACAACACTTAGAGCTCCAATTTTGAGGAATTGAGTCCATGACTTAATGGCCTGAAGAGGAACCATCTTTAGCCAAACTATGCTCAGGTAGCTCAATAATGCACAGGCACCCATATGGCACATCGTGAGGAAGATTGGGTACCTGAATCCGTAGTTGCTAAGAAGGTATTTGTTGAGGAGAAGAACTCCAATGTTGGAGGAGTACCAGCAAATGATGAGAGAAGAAATGAAAAGGGAATTCTTTGGAATGCGCATGGCTTCCCAGAGCTCTCAGATCTCCAAAGAACCCAGCGATGGAATGGCATTTGCAGTTGGGTTGTTCACATTGGGAGATTTCGCAGAGATGGAGTGGGTTTTGGTCTCTTTCTCAAATTCTGCAGAGAAGATAAGCTTTGGGTCTCTCTCTACTGGGTTCTCTTCATCCACATCAAGAATTGATAAATTCAGAGAAAATGCATTTGCACATAGTAGTCGTTAGTCTTGAACTTGGAATGTAGAAGCCAGCCATTAAAAGAGCGACATTATTATTAAGGTGTTGATTACAGGGAACGCTTCTCATTTCTTGGTTTTTTACATTCAAATTTTCCACCCCTTTGTAAAGGACTAAAGAAAAAAAGAAAAAGAGAGAAGGTAGCAAATTTTTCGCGAGTGGGTGGTTGTTAACTTAGAGAGAGAAAGGGTGAGAATATTTTAGAGAGAGAACAAGAAGTTCGGTTGAGGCCACCCAATGACCAAACTTTCATCTTCTTTTTTTTCGTTTTTTGGGTAAGTAATGTCCACAGACGCATCGGGTTTTCGGACATTTTTTTGAACAAAAAACGATTTTTGGACATTTTTTTTGGTTAAAAAACAGTCCAAAAACCCGGTCACCTCGCACTAGCATTTACATATTTTACCATATGACCGTACCCTTCAAATTTATTTACAAAGAGTACGTCGGGAAGAGTACGTTAACTCGCTCATCTTACTTTGAAAGATCTTTTTCCTTTTTTATCTGAATTTTGCGTCCGAATAAGACTGGTCAATGCTTATTTTCCGAAGGGAAAAGTTTATATGGAGCCGAGGCTCTAAACAATCAAATTAGAGCCTATCCCAAAAATTTCACTATAAGAGGTTGTTTTGATGCTCAAATATCCTCAAATTGATCATCTTTGACAGCAAGATGCATTGACATGAGAAAAAAATGAATTTCAAGTTTTGGAAATAACGTATTTTGTAATGCATTTTTTGGCCGTCAATTTTCAAGATTTTCAAGTTTTCATAGATATGTCGATCTACACTATTTTTTAAACCTTAAGTTTATAAATAAAGATGAAAATATACTTTAAGGCTATCGCAAAAATTTTCAGTATTGAAATCACATTTCTCGATACTATTTGAAGGTAGGCTCTAATTTAATTGTTTAAAGCTTAAGCTCTATACGAACTGCATCCTTCTTAAGAAACATTGTACTTTTATGAATACGTAGATCTTGCTCACCAAAATTGGACTTTTATGAATACTTAGATCTTGCCCACCAAAATTGGACGGTACTTGTTCAATATTGGAACGTTACTTTTTTTTCAAGCATATATGATATATGAATGGAAAAACTTCTTTTTGAGATTGGTGGCACCTCAAGTTACATCTACAAAATTTAGAAGTATTTCTAACTCAAGATGTACCCGATGGATCAAATGGACATTATGCTCCTCAGGGAGTTCGGCTATTAATGAATATGAATAACAACTGTTGCATCCCTTATTCATCTTTGTTAAAAAAAAAAAAAATCTTCAGTATCCTCTACTTTTAATTTTCATTTCTTCGTAAACTCAAACCTAAAGTTTCAAAAAATATCTTCTAACCCTTGATCACTTTACACTATTTTTTAACCTAAACAAATATGAGAAAGACATATTTAAAGCCAATCATTTCTCTCTCTTCACTTATATCTCTCAAACTTCTCTTTATCTCTCTTCTTATATCTCTCACTCTCTCTCTCCTACTGTGTTTCTCCAAACACCTCTCTCTTCTCCCGGTAACTTCTCACCTCCATGAATCCCTTCTCTCTTTCTCTTAAACTTTGGAAAGACGACTTTTAAAAAAGATGTCTTTTTAAGTTTGTTTGACCTAAAAAAACATGTTTAAATTAGCTCAAGGGGTTAGAAGAAACAAAATCTACAATTTTTATATCCCAATATATCTTTTAAAACTTTGGATCTATTGTGAAATGAAACTTAAAATTAAAGTGTATGGAGATATTTTTCCAAAAGAGAAAGAAGACAAAAAAAAAAGGAGAGAGAGAGAGAGATCTTTCTATGTTTATTTCATGAGAAAGCAGCAAATGCTGTACTGGCTACGAAAGCCTGTTGTCGGCCTCTCCCAACATGGTGTATATTTGTGAGAAAGCCGCTTCATAACTATTAACTATCTTGATATGAGGAAGCTCTCTCTAAAAACAAATTCTTCCAGTCCCCAGAAAAGTGCTTTCGGACACAACAAACGTGCCCATAAAGTTGTAATGTAGCACTTGCCATGGAGGTCAAAAGTGAGATTATGGTGAGCATGCCTGATAGATGATAGAAAGGACTCCGAGGGAGAAATATATGTCGTGAGAGTTTGAACTTTGGTGGTGTTAAGGATATCATGAGCAAGTTCAAAGAGCTGTCAAATGAGAGAGATATAGGGTTAGTGTGCAGTTCAGTCCTCAACTGCATTGCAATGTAACTGTTTACATGGCTAACATGACTTCATTCACATGCTAACCTTGGCCTTCATATTTCCCTTAGGGTTGATGAGCACCTTGAAAGAGCCACTGGCTCCTTCATCCAAGGCAAGATTGGCCCTAAATAGGTGCTCCAAACTCTACGACCCGACAGAGGTGATTGGATAATCAAGTGAATCCCTTAAGAGAGTACTTCTGCATTCGAAGAGTGCCTGAAGCGCATTTGAAGCATAATGTGTAACCGTGATAAGTGTGGCTATAAATGATAAGTTACCATGTGAAAGAGTTTGAACCAATGAAGTAGATGAGGAAGCCGACTCTGGAGATCCTGTTGCATTATGGATGATATATCTTAAAGAGGAATAGGGGTATGGGGAGTCATCCACCATGATACCTCTACATTTGTGATCTAACTGTTGTTTGTCTGAGTGCTGCAGGTGGTTGGGGTTGGATGGTGTGCAATGCCAAGAGTTGTTGAAGAAGTCTTAGCTAGAACTTGGACCGCTTAGAAATTGCCATGAAAATGCACACAACAAAAAATACCAGCCCACAAGTATGACTGCCAATGGGTAGTGTGGCCGGCCTGGCCCGGCCCTAAAAACATAGGGCCTAGGCCAGAAACTGCTGCCCAAGGGTCGGGCTAGGGCCAATGCCGTCCTGGTTCGGGCTACCCGGGCCGGCCCAACACTAACAAGGCTAGGGCTGGCCCAACGTGTTGCCACGCTTACCCAGAAGGAACTGCACTTAGAGAGACGCCAAAGGTGTAGAATAACTTACTACTCATTACAGATAAACATACTGTGTGTGTGATGTTTGGAAACGAATTAGTTCAACTATAACATTCATGTTGAGTCTTGTGCCCTCAGTTGATGATTAGGAAAATAGATAGCTAAATTATAGAGAGAGAGAGTACGCTGAAAAGTGACATGTCCAACGGGGAAGGGGTGCAGCTCCAAGGGATTGCGTACCATTTGATAATGAGGACATCTTTTCAATATCCATATTCAGATGTTTGCTTGCTTATATAAGAACAAGCGGGGTCAAATATTATAAAAGATAAGGTCTTTGATTAAAGCCATTGAAACTCAGGCTCATGAGAGGATGCTAAGCTTGCATATGATAAGTTTGCTACGCCAGCAATCCTGATAAGGCCCTGTATGATCATTATATAGCTAATCAGCATAGATTAAACAAAAATATGTTGTCTTTATTATACATGAAGAAAAAGGAACAAACTCAGTCAATTAGAGAGAAAAATCTCACCCGTTTAAGTAAACTAAAAGCGCTGTCATTTTTCATAGAAATGTGTGTAATTCATAATGAACAAACCATTTCCCAGTGCTATCTATTCCTGCACAGTTTTCCAACAAATCAACACTAGGTTTCCACTTATACCAAAAAACGCAGGTGTAAAAACCAACTTAATCAAAGAAAAAGCACCAGCACATCAAAAGGTTTTAGCTCTATAGAGAAATAATTGTAGGCACTCATTAGTATCGAGTTCAACATTTGCCATCACTTGAAGCATGCAAGCATTCTAAACAAACCCGAAGGTGCTACCTTTGTGGCTTTGTCATCAAGTAGCTACTTAGACTAAAGTGGCCATATGTCATGATGGATGTCTAAGCCCGTGCTTTACAAAGTTATTCCCTTTTTTTCTTTTACTATGACGAGGATAAACTACGTAAGTAGGCTTGTAATGGATCCCGTTCTGGTTGGGTCCATTCAAACCTAAACTCAATCCAACAGGGGGTGGAACCTGACCTGACCAGGTCTATGTCAATCAGACCTAGACCTAACATGCCACGTCAGGTTGGGTTTGGATCGAAATATGTAATAAATGTATTACATACATTCTATAGCATATAAAGTATATTATACATAAGCATATAAAGTATATTTGGTGCAAAACTGGCACTGGATTTATCCTTTCCAGTGCCGGTTTTGCACCATTTGGTATCAGAGCAACTGTGAGGGTTGCATCGATGGCTCTCGTGGTAGAGGCCGCAAGTGAAGAAATGAACGTTGTGATCTCGATAGGTTATCGGAGAACGTACACAATGCCACAATGTAATAGAGTCAGTGGCCATGAGTCAGAGATGGAGATGACTTCACCTAGCTCAGAATCTGAGATTGATTCTAGCGGAAGTATTGGTTCACAAAGGCCCGGTAGAGACGTGAGTCGGATGGCGACTCAGGTGTACAAACCGAGAGGAGTAGGCAAGCACGACACCGTGATGACGACTCAGGTATTAAAGTTGACTTACCTGAATTTTTTGGTAGCTTATCACTGGAAGAGTTCTTAGATTGGTTGAGAGCGGTAGAAAGATTCTTTAAATGAAAGGATTTTGTTGGATTCAAAGGAAGTAAAATTGGTTGCAAGTAAGATTCAGGAACTTGCATCCATTTGGTGGGATCAAGATCAGCAAGCAAGGTTGCGAAAGGGGAAAGATAAGATTTGAACTTGGGCAAAAATGAGGGCAAAGTTGCATGAGCAACTTTTTCCTCCAAACTCTGCACAAACCGTGTATAAATAATTCCATCAATTGTCTTAAGGATTGAAGTCAGTCCGTGATACGGAAGACTTTCATCGCTTATCTTTGCGCATGGGGTTGGATGAGACCGAGGACCAACGAGTGGCAAGGTATATCTCAGGTTTGCGGCTTCAAATCCAAGAATGAACTCTCCTTGCAACACCTGGTCAGAGTAAAAATGGATATTGAGTTGTCTTGTGAGCCGAGGAGATGCAGAAAAGGGCATACTAGTTGGAGGCTAGGTGTAAGCACATCACAACCCAAGAGGGTGATGCCTCCAATCCGGGAGTTGCTGGCCCAAGTAAGAATAGAACTTCAGAAGATCAACGAGGGGCGGTGCCTACGCACAACACTGGACTGCAAGCCCGAACAAATGAGCAATCAAGTGTTTGATACTTCCGATGTGACGAGATGGGTCCTAGGGCAGTGGAGTGCCCATCGGTTGCTGCCCAACGGCATGCTACTCTTGCCTAAGCCAAGGAAGATGGTGAGATAGAACAGCGTGCAGCTGCTGATTGTGAAAAACCAGTGTATGA